TCCATATTCAAATAAAAAAGAAGCAGAACTTTTCAGCATCTACATCATTTTATACAACAACTGAGCAGAAAATGAACTTTGATAATTAATTTTGTTTAATTGTGCATCACAATTAGTACTGAAAACAGCCAATGAAAATCTTGACTCTTCGTAGATTATGTATTTTCGTAATATGACACATGGAGAAGGAACGATCAGTAGACAAGAATAAAACCAAGTGCCCGCCTGCTGTTTACTCAAAACTTACTGACTGTGACTAGCAAAACACATGCCTTGTTTTCATTTAAGTTACATCGTAATTACAGATTACATCAAAAAGAGTTCCGATATTTTCATAAGTGACTTGAGTTACTTCTTTATTTTAGATAATCTTATACAATATCAAATGTGAACAAGTTGAGATGGAAACAGTAATGTATAACTATTGAAATCAAAGACAAGAAAAAAATACAAAAAAAAGAACTGGAAAGTTTCTTAAAATTTAAGTAGACTGTTAGGTTGAATTAAATTTTCTTCGACAATGTGGATCATATGTCATATCGCGTGATGGTACATCTTTGGGGACAGCTACGTATCGCCCATTTATAGTTTCTCCACCAAACCATTCTTTGTCCAGAACAACATGCCGACGCGAAAATGGTAACAATAACTACAAAGAAAACAATTAGTTATCGATAGAAATGTGATAAAATAACTTGCTTATGACATACAAAAATGTCAAAAATAGAAAATATGAACATACCTCTCCTCGTCCACTTTCAATCAATCTCACTGTCATTTGCCAGGTTCTGGCGTCATATATCTAAACAAAATGGTGCCAAATACTTTATCTGTTCGTTAAACAACAAACCTATGAAAACAAATATATCGGGTGGCCCATAAAGAATGAGGGTTTCACTGTTTTTTCAATATCTTAATCAATTTTTCATATTTTTCTTTTCTTTTTTTTTCATTTGATAGAGAATTTTTTTCTTTGTAGTTATTGTTACCATTTTCGCGTCGGCATGTTGTTCTGGAC